GAAATGTGGCTACGATAGGATGGTTGTCTAGCTCACTATGCTCGACTTCTCTGCGATCACCTAAATCCATATTATCCAAGAAAGTGGATCGGATGTCTCGGTCTTATCCATTGGCACCCAGATATCTGGACTTAAGTGCTTTATTTTTTTAAGATACATTCTATGAAAAAGAGGTGATTTCTGTAACACAGTTACATGCGGAAATCAAACAGTCCTTTTTCGAAGTCTCGTAAACGGAGTATTCTCGCAAACTGAAAAAATCATACGCATGAATAAGGGAGAGTGGTAGCCACCTTGAACACCTATTCTACAGAAATTAACTTAAGCTTACTATAACAACATCAATCCTGTCCTTATTCCTTATTCGTATCATAAAAGCATTTGTCAAACGTAAACAATGCCGATTTTGATGATTTAATCAATTGTGAATATTTTGAAACGAACCCTGGTCAAAAAACTGATATTCGTGGAAATGGCAGCAATTTAGCTAGACGAGTGACAATTTTTGCAAAAAACAGATGATTGCTGAGCAAATCAAGAACGGTGTGGCTTTTGACTGAACAAAATTTTGCCAAACTGTAGGTTATGCGCTCTATTTCCTGCTGAAAAATTATCTTCAATTATCAGACACTCCATATGGCATGAACTACTTGTGGGTCCAATAATTACAAGATAAATTGAGTAAATCCCTTCGTTAAAGCTGGTTTCTTCAATGATCGGTATTCAACCCGGTCACGTTTCGTGAGGATAAAACTAACTACGCCAATGTAACCATCTGCCATCTGAGCTCGATTCTGTGATATTAATATTGGGCAGAACTTTCCCTGGAAATGCTTTGAGCTCAGAACATCTTATGTGACTTTGATATGGAAAACTGCTGAAGTTTCTGCAGTGGAATGATGAGTTTGGATGAACATCACGTATAATGGATAATGCACAATGAAATATAGCAAGGAAAGAGAAACGTGACACAGCAAAAAGCTTCTACTGGCGTTCTTAGCTAAAAAAGCGATTCGATATTTATAGAACCAAGAAATCATGTCAGCGGTAGTAAATTTTGAATGAAATGCTCCAAAACGTCCCCAAACCTGGTTTTGGTCAAGTCGTCTTTTGTGAAAAGCCAAAATTTGTAAAACCAGCTTCGTTTTTAGCGTTTTTTAACTTTCGTCTTAAAAAATATAATGATGGATTTTTGAGTGAGTGGTAGGTGGTTTCAGATTTCCCTAATAAATCACAGAATTTGTATGTGCTAAAATTACCATGAAAATCACCTTGTTCGCTTTTCCAAATCCACCAGCAATTGTAATGCATCTTAGAACCTTAGTCGTTCTGTGTATGCAAATAATTTGAAAGTTGATTTACATAAATATATTAAGACATTGACGCAGAGTTCGATGCTGAGTTAAGCCAGTCGACACAATCTTTTATATTTTTGGTATAATTGCTTTTTACTGCAGCAATATATTTTACCACTCACTCTCATCATTTACAGTTGGAGCAAAACGTTATTTATTGGCAACAATTACTGGTTATGGTTGGTCTCTAAGATCTGCCAATTTTTTTGACGACAGGCTGCAAAGTGCGGTGGAGGAAGTACTGGTGTGGACGGATCGGTGGTTGATCGAAATTAATACTTCGAAATCTCAGGCAATCTATTGAACTAAAGAACGTCGCGGTGCCCCCTCAGAGATGGAACTCGTATACCATGGGAACAATCTGTCAGGTACCTTGGACTCATCATTGACCAGGGGTTAACCTGGCAGAAACATACTGATATTTTGAAAACAAGATTCCAAATTACCTTTCGGCAATTAAGTTTGATCAACAAGATTTGGTTATATAGAATGGTTATATTTTCGGCGACAATAGTATCCGGCTTTGTAGCTTATAGCGTTAGTAAACCGATTTGGAAAGATATTTCTGCGTTGCAAAGTAAACTGCTTAATTATAAAATTCTATTTGCCATGCGAGTACGACGCAATACAATTTCACCGAACTGATGATGAAATCAGCCTCCCTGTAATCCTGTCATAGCAAATGCTCTGCTCAACGTTTACTGAATGTGATCTAAATACAAATGAGGTTGGATATGCATATTATGCAGATATTTCGGGGCATAGCTGTCAATATCTCATGCTTGCTCGCTTATTCGCGGCAACAGATGTTCTAGCGGATTCAAGTGTTCTCGTTATGATGTGGGAGATTCGATTGTTGCGGTATTTGCTCATGATGAATGGGAAAATACGGGGTTTGAAGTACGGAGGATAGAATCACTAGACTGAAGTTGACCTGTATTCGAATTCCGTGCGGGAAAGAATTTGAAGAATGCCATGAAACTGTAAACCCGGCAAATAGAAGATAAAACAGAGCTACGCTTAGCTAGTGCCTGCTAGTATCAAGACCTATGTATGAGAAACTTTAGTTCCGGTTTGAGACTTGGCTCCTTTGGCGCGATTGAACAACTTCGCAATAATTTTCGCATTCGGGGCAATGGGCTATTATAGCGCTTTACGTGAATAACCTTTACAACCAAATGCACATTGACGTTGACAACGAATGCTTCCAAAGACTATGGAGAGGTAAATTCAATACTTTTATTCTCTTAAGTGTTGTTCTATCTCCAGTAGGATAATAGGTGGAATCTAAAAAACTAATCTGAGATTCATCCGAGACTTCAAGAAGGTTTATTGAATTCTCCCGAAGATTACCAGAAGAAGTAAGACTACAAATAACGTCTTAAGCTTAATTTTGTTAACTTTTCCACAAGAGTATCGATATCCGCAGCATATCTCGCTCCCTTTTCCCTAACAGACTTTTTTCTAAGATTTTTTCTAAGGTCTTGTTGAAACGTAACTCAACTGTGAATTGATCTCAGCTACAATTACGTCTTTATTTTCTCATCGCTTTCCACCAACAGATTCCTAAACTTCTAAAAAAAAAGTTTGATGGTAAGCCGAAATACTAAGCTCACTTCATGATCGGCAGATTTACTGATTGGCATGATCACAAACAAAGCAGTCTAATCACAAAATCAACACCGACAGAAACGTGAAACATAATGGCGTCCTAGTGAGAATCAGGTCAAGAAACTCTGAGTTTGAACGGATGTTACGTGACAAGATGCGCAGGCATGATGCGCAATCGTTTCTTGCTGTGAAAACGGTCCTCGTACTTGTTCTTTACACCATCATTGTTTGAAGTTTGAGCTTCTGCTTGTACATCGCACCTTCTGCTGGTGGGATTGTCGCGTCACTGATACCAATATGTCCCATAGGCATATAACTTACACTCTCTTGGACAGCATATAATACCACGCATGATTTATACTGCATCACTAAGCGTATTGGAAATAATTATTTGATGAATGCTGTTTACGATAATACAAGTGATCTTAGTAAGCTATGTTAACAAAATATTCGTATGACAAACTGTTTTAATGTAATGAGCTTTTAGATCCATGGGTGACAAGAATTTTAATAGAAATAGATCCTGTTGAGAGTATTAATGCCCTAATAAAAAGGCTGCAATATATTTAAAAGGTGTGCAGTTTCTTGTAATGCAAACACTGCTGTGGAAAGTGTGGAAAGCAAAACGACTGTGACCGACCTGCAACGGTGTCGACAGATCAAAACATCAAAAAGGTGCATAATATCGTATTACAAGGTGGATTACCCAGCGTACTTGATAGACGAGACTCTCAGTAGTTTTGGACGATTTCCATAAATGACAGGACATTTGTTAGAAAAAGGATTTCAACGAATCATCAGATGGCGCCTACCGTGGAGGAGGAGTTTTGTAGCAGACGGGCAAAGTTTTCTGACTGAGCAAGTATGTTGATATTAATATAGACTTTAATATCTATCAGGTGTAATCTGAAAATTGTAAATAATTAACCCAGATATACAGGGTGCAAAGTTAGTAGTGGATCAAGGTATGTGTGGTGATAGAGGGCCTCAAAACCTATCGTATGAACCCCTATATATGTGGTCCGAAATTCTATAGTTCAGGAAATATTTGCAGTTTTGTGAAATTTCGGAAAAAACGGGATAATGAACTTTCAATCGCAATTACAACTAAACTATTAGGTTTAGGGCTGTGTTTTTTTTAGATGAGCTAAATGGTTAGTTTCAGCAATAATTATGTTATTTTTTAACAGAGCTAATTAGAAATCAACGCAAAAAATCTTAAACACATTTTTTGATAAAGCAAAAATAAAAATTATGGAAAACGCAAATTCATTTCAAAGACTAAAGGACAATTTTATGAGAATATGTCGCTTGTGTATAAAAAATGATGGAGGCCATTTCGAACATGTTCTTTAAACGTTAGTTAAATTGAATTATCTTCCACATAAAATGCAATATGTTCTACAAGTACAGAACTTGTAGGTGGTAAGGATTCTAATGCGTTTCTTACGTTTATCGCATCACAACAACGAATGTGGCATGATACACTCATCATATCAAGCTGAAATTTTTAGAGTTTATTCTACATGGATTGAAATAGCTTTTAAAATAAAATAAATAATGAAATGCATCCTCAATTTTTTTACCGCCCTCCAAAGTTGAGAGATGGAAGATATTTTTCACCAAAAAATTAATTTAAGATTTTTTGCGTAGATTTCTAGGTATGCCTGTTAAAAAGTGACATAACCGTTGCTAACACGAACCATTTATCTCTTCTCAGAAAAAAAATAACAGCCCTAAACCTAATGGTTTAGTTGTAATTACGATTGAAAGTTTATTATCCCGTTTTTTTCAAAATTTCACAAAATTGCAAATATCTCCTGAACTATAAGATTTCGGACCACACATATAAGGGCTCATTCGATAGGTTTTAAGGTCTTCTATCACCTGACTTCCGATGATCCACTACTAACTTTACACCCTATATAATTGAGAAGGTGTTCACATTACAGAACAGGTAGAAAACAGCTTCCGATGAAAGTCTGATGAGTTAACTCAAAATATCAAGGAATGAACAGTCTTACGAACACTCACCTAAAAATCGCTTATCCGCCGCATCGTAAATAGGAGCGTTCAAATCCTGGATCATATCTTCATAATCAAGAATATTTTGATGAACTAGCTGTGGATATTCTTCGTTCTCGTATTGGTAGTCTGTTATTTCTCGCTTGCGCCTCTGTGGTACTGCAGGAGCTACTGATCTCTTTCCTGGAACATCCATGACACTAACTAAGTATTCAGATGATAAATTAGGGGAGTTCGTGTTCTTCCAACCAAAACCAAAATGTGTCTGGCCGAATCAAACCACATAATATATGTATGTTTAAAATCCCTCTTTATTCTACGATTAATGAAGACCGGTATGCCGACCGGTCAAGCCAGCGAGCAGACGCAGCAGCGCCTATCAAAAACACTTATGTATCAAACGAGGAATCTACTACGTGTAAAATGTGTCTAATAGGTGCGAGTTACCGGAGTGGGAAGTGTATTAAAATGCTAACATCAAAAAATTCCGATACCCCCCCCTAGAAGCCGGTTTCTTCAATTTACTACGCCTAAAAAATTTTCAAAGGTGATTACGATCCTCTGAAACGTCAAAAAACAAAGTATGGCCGATTTCTATTTTTTCATTTTGGCGCTATTACTGGAGCGAATTTAAAAAAAAACTTTTTCATCATTGGATAGAAGTAAGACCTGTGTGAAAATGTCATCCAAATCTGAGTAGTCCGTTCCATGTTATGGACGAGCGATAGATAGACCAACTAAATGAGTGACATGGTTTTTCGTAATAACATGTAAAAACATCTCATCTTCGAAATTTTTTGCGACTACAATAATTCCTCGCCAGTAAGCATGGAAAGTAGAAGTGTTAATTGGTCTTGAAATAGGTCATCACTGAGACCGAAACGTCATACAATGAAGAGAAATTTTAAACATACTATGTGGCCAGACAGACATGGGGCGAGTATCAACATGGAAACCATAGGATAGTTTCAGTTACAGAACTAAAATCTTTTATGTGGTCATGAAAATTTGACTATCATGAGAATTGCTCAAATATTTTTGTGCATCCAGTGCGAAAAAAATTTCAAAAAACCTCGGATCCAGTGAATTACCTGCCGAATTGTGAAATTAGGTGTATGTGCCATCTATAATGGATATTCGACTCACTGTCAGTCTAAAATATGGTGAATGTGCTGTTGTAATACGGGCTTGCGATTTTTAAGATATGGTGGATGTGCTCTCCATTCTTAGCCGTTTATTGCACGAATGCGAAACCTCATCGTGGCATGAAACAAACTGCCAGAGCCGGGCAGAGTACTATCGAGTACTTTGGCAAGTATACTTAGCAAAAGAACTCAAAATTGCATGAGTACGAGTATTTGATTGCTATGTAGTCAAATACATATATGAGTACAAGTACTTCATTTATCGGTATGAGTAATGAATAAGTACTGACTACGACTATTCTATGAAATACCAGCAAATACAAAACAATGATCAGATGTCTCTGATAAACAATTACAAATTTGCGTAAACTATTGTATAACCCATTCTGAAATTTTTAACCAACCCTAAACGGTACAAATGCTACGTCTTCAGTAGATAACTAAATTTCTTCATCGATATTTGTAGCTTTTATTGATTACTTAATAATCTGATGTAAATTTCAATCGTCTCCAGCGACTAACCAGTTTTAACCACCAGTTTGGAGGCTTTTCAATTCACTTCATGAAGATTATGTTTTATGTGGGAGCAAAATTATGTAGACATTTTTGAAATTTAATTGCCAAAAATCCAGAAACCTCATCGAATTTTCTGCATATTTTGTGAAGATTTTATTTCTATATGCCTGTAGTATCTGAAATGGCTACAGGTACTCTTCCGTTAAACAAGCTAAACATTAATCACTACTCAAGATCGCAGTATTCCCAGTTTAACTACGAGTACTGAGTTCAGTAACAGAAATAAAAGAATATATAGTTACGTGATAAGTGGCAAAACGGTTACCATATTGACGTAGAAAATGCAAGGTGTATATATGGATCGGAAAAAGAGCCAGGTTGAAGTTACTCGTACTCAGAGCTCATACATTCGACAAAACATAGTACTCAAGTAATCGTGGGTCCTCGATACCTGATTATTGTAAAATAAAAGTACACATAAGAATCCTAAAATGAGTACTTCAAGATATTTTACTCGAGTACTGCCCAACTCTGCAAAGTCCTAGTACAAAGTCACTGTCAAGATTCAACTGTAATACTACATCATTACTGTTTAACCGTGTTTATAACGGCCGGTATAAAACCTTTCGTAACTTCATTTCCATTTTACTTTGAGATTCGTTTTGATGAAAGACTGGATTTTAAATATTGACCTCAACAAAGCGATGGAGTGTGTTAATTACCTGTGAATTTTCCATTCCTTGCAACAGAAGCGATGTTCCTCTTGTACTGAATCTGATAGTTTGGAAGTTCATAATTCCTGGCTAAACTAGCTATGTTTCGTTTACCGTAGAGGTCATCCAGCGTGTCTTGAATACCCTTCCTAGGTGGTCGTAGGTCGCCATTCCTAGCTAAGCTTGCTATACCTGCAAACAATAGAAAACGTGGTTCAGATTCAACATCTTCAATATCAGTTGCAATACGAATAGTCCCGGTAAAAAGGCTCTCTAGTTAAAAAATAATAATCTCATACGCTTTGACTATTAATTGCCAGTGTATTTCATAGTTCCTAATAACAACTTTATATTGATCAATTTCCATAATAGTCTAGTTAGTATCTTCTCATCTGCCCTGGGAATATTCTGATTCGGATTTTTTTAATCTCATTCATATAATGAATCTGCAGATTGCTAGGCCCAAAAATTGCCTCAAAAATTATTGTTTAAACGATTTGGTACAAAAACGTACTTCAGAACTTTTTTATAAGGTTCATAGTTGTAGAGATATAAGCAATCTAATATTTAGAAAAGCGCAAAATATGCAATCTTCGATTCCTAAAAGCAAAATAAAAAATTTCAATGTTACCGATGTTCCAAAATATTTTTCAAACGTCCATTAACCTTTGTGTTTTAATTTTTAGTCAAGCCCAATGTATATTCTGCAGTAAATATCAAAATATCTGTACTCGTACCTCATGGCTCATGGCACTAGTTAGAAAAGAATTAACAGCGACCGCTGATACTAAGATAAGGGAGCACTAGATTTTGACCAATAAATGTACATTCCAGAAAAGGTGGCTGGAAGACATACTGAGACTATTTCAGCCGCACCATTTTGCCAAATGAAACCACATACACTGCTTTTCAAGTTATTTTTCGAACAAGTCAAGTCAGCCAGCATGCTGAAATTTGATGTAATGCATGTAAATCATGTGTTAACATAACAGTAGCAGTTAAAAGCTTCAATGTGGCGGCTAGCCACTGTTACACTTTTTTTAATAGTATGGGGGTCGCGTGATATCTTATTTTGAAGCTCCTCATGATTACTTCATAACTATGACTGAAAAAGTCATCACCTCTCAAAATGGCGAATTGTCAGGCTGTACAAGTTGAGCTTTTTGGAACGCTGAGTCGCTTACGACTCAACAATCATCAAAGCACTATCATAATGTTATATCGATCTTTTGGAGTAGTATCCGATTTTTAATCAAGCAAAGTATTGAAGGAGTAATCTTTCGAGTTGACATTCCATTTCCCGAGCATGAGAAATACATTAAGATTACTCATCCATCAAGTATCCAATCCTGATAGGCGGACGGGATAGTCTTCTGAAACAATCTCAGATTTTCAAAGTAATCACGGCGCTAATGTAGCAACGAATAGATAGCTTAGGTGAAAGATAAAAGGAAAGGGTAAATGGAATTATAGGGTCAGCAACAGCAGAATCGATCCATAATGATATGATCTTTAAGGCTTTATAGAGAGAAGCGGTGCAAACACTATTTTCTCAATAATGTTTACGCTTTGTTCTAGAACGGTTTTCCTTGAAAGTAAGCTCCAGCCAATTATCGAGTATTCTAGGAACAGCTATTAAGACCTCGTGTGCCTCGATTTGAATGTTTGGCATTATTAGACACCTGTGGGAGTATAATTATAAAAAAACCTGGTAATGCGAACCAAATCGTAATGGTTTGGCCGCCATATTTGAAAATGGCCGCAAATTTATTACGGTTATCCATTATTCATTATATCTTTGTAACCAGTGGGCGAATTTTTACTTTGAATCTCATTTCACTCCTTTTCCGAGAACAAAACTATTCAATAGTCACACATTTTTTGAATAATCGAGTAGTTTAATTTTTATATGGTGCATTTACTTAAAATATACTTATTCAAATGGAAAAATGGTTCATATTTCATAGAGGCCAAGTTCCACATCCAAAAGCACTGTGCTCACAAATACTAAAGGCAGTTTTTCGCTAATATCAGCAACTAGATCTCAGACCTGAGTTGGCGTGTGAATTTGCCCCTAGTCTTCGTAACCACTGAACTGGTCTCAATTTCTTTAAGCTCATGTTACTCTTTTTTAAAGAACAAACATATCTTGTCACTTGCATAGTTTTTGAGTAATGCAATAGCTAGTGAGGTGTACGGTTGAATAAATATTTTGCGATACGGTCTCCATTTCTAAATATGGCAGCCTTATTTTTTTAAATACCTCCGTATTCATTTTATTAACTCCCAGCATATAAATTCAAGTAAGATAGAAGTGCAGACGTAACCACACTATAATGTCCAATCATAAAGTCAGCGTTGCCATCTTTCTTTATAAAATATGTTGAATAACGGTTTTCTAAACTGAATACCATCTTTATATAATAAGTTTTTATATGTATATTCATATAGGTGCCTGATGACGCCCCTCATTCAAACCCATGACGACACACGAAAGGCTATAAAAATTAAGAGGTAGTAAGTAGTAAGAACAATAACATAAAGCTCTTGTGTCACTTGGTGCTCAACTGAGGTGTTAAGCTAACTCCAAGTAACTTCAAGTCGAGTTCATTAACCTGAAGCTGCAGCATAACCTGTTGTTTAGTTTATTTTTAGCATTTAGACTCCTGTGGATCCCTCAACACATGACAGCATCAAGAGATGTCCAAGCAGACTACTTCGCATACATTTGTTGAAAAGAACGAAGAATGAGGAACGTTTCAAATGTGCATTCGAGTCGAATCGAAAGAAGCGTCGAATGCCAAGATCCATAAAGCCGGATTGTGACCGTGAAATAGAATTTTCGCAGATTCAGGAAACTGGCGAACTGATCCGGAAACACGGATGACTGTAAATAGGAAAAAGTTCGCCGCCGATACGCACAAGCATCAAATGCAGTAACTATTGAGCAAAAGCAAAACATCCTTTGATCTCTAGGCCATAAACCACTGCAGATTGAGTGGGTGCTATTATTTTCTTCATACCGTTGGAGGAAGTAGAGCTATTATTGTATCTCCTAAGCAAATGGCGTTACGTTTTTAATCCGTAAATGACCGAAGCGACACAAATAAGACTAAATCTAATGAGCGATATACCACAGCAGTACATATTATGATTATGAAAGTTGTCGGAATTGGAAGTATCTTAGTATTCCCTACCAACATCACCAGTCGCCACATTTGAGGCTTCTGAAACGATGACGCGTAAGATATAAACATCCTAAGCTAAACTGTTAACGATACAGATATAAATGTTTGTGACTAACTCGACTTCGTTGATCCGAAGTACGACCACAGGACGACCAAGTTTCGTGTGACCATTTGCGGGTAAATCTTGGACGGCCCGACCAGTGATACGACCTCCAGTCGACAGCCGACGTCGGCGCGATCAATGTTATCTTCTTGAGGAATTAGGAAAAATGGCTACTCACCACGCTTAGGTTCCTCCTGCCTCAACGGAAACTGACCATTCTTCGCCAAATTCGCTACACTCCTTTTGTAGTTAGGATCCTCTTCTTCCGGCAGTGTCTTGATATACCCATTCCTAGCCAATGCTTCCAGATTTCTCTTCCCAGGCAGGTTGTTGCTGGCTGCCAATGCAGCTAACGAGCGTTTGTAGTAACTTTCTTCATCCTCTAAGGCTTTCCGTTCCAGTATTTCCTGGATCTTCCTTAACAGGTCACGACGTAAGGCCTGGACTTGTATCGAGGGACTATCTTGGTCCGCCAGCAATGCCCTCAGCGTGTCTTCTATGTCTATGTCACACGAGCTCTCTGTGCTTGTCTACCAAAAATGAAAACATAAGCTTAATTCGGGTTCTTTGCAGGGAAAGGTGAAAGAACCGTTGCGAACTACTGATACGTAATCGCATTGCGGTCTCAACTGACGTTAAAATATTGCGCAGAGTCAAGACGGTTCTGTGATAGTTCCTTGTGGAACTCTAAGTACAAGAGACATTTGCGCGACAAAAATTAACTGATAAACATCAACCTTAGTACCCTCGCAACATGCAATTATGTGAATAAAGGGTTTTGAATGTTGGAAGAGAGAGGTGTCCTTATTCTAGTTTGTAAACCGTATTATTTTCATACATTAGAGCGAGACCAGGCCCACAAATTCAGTCTGGACAGAACGAGCTAGTCAAGGATATGTTTGTTTCCTAATTCTCATAGACTGTAGTGAGAATCATTGATTTTTCGACAGTTATGTCATTGAATTTGAATTTTTAGTGATATCTTTTAAAAATGCAAGTGTTTGCAGATATGTGTAATGTGTGGTTAATGATTTCAAGACATAGTTCTTCTTAGATAATTTACAAAGAGTGGCACAAGCCTAATGAAGGTAGATGTTTCCACCCTGTAAGTATTATTGTTATTATATTGATACAATGATGTTACTTTGGTAGGCATTGGGAGAATAATGAGTCGAAAGGGTGCACTAAAACTATGCAAATTCGGCAACAAACAACGCAATGTAAGTATATAGACTTGGCTCCTAACCTATCCGAGTTCGTTGGACAAGACAGCTCGACGCCGATTGTCGAATTCGTACGGGGCTATTGACCAATCGAAATAGGAGAATGGAAATCTAGACTCCTGTTCTCTTTGTGCTCAGCAGCTGTGAGTTACACAACAGAATCTCGAGGAAGACAGATAGCAGGGTGCTAAACAAGGTAACTATCCTTGCTTTCGAGATATTGTGGCTTGGGAGATTCTGTTTTGGATTACGTTTTTCAGCCGAGGGTTTTTAACCTGAGCCTTGCAAACCAGAACATCCCTAACTGAGATCGCGCGGGGTGGTCCGCCATCTTGTATTGGCACTCCCAAATCGAAGAGAGCGCTGACACCCAAGGGAGTTCTCTTCTCCATCCCAGGTTTGTAAAATAAGTTACTGAATTTTATTTAGAACGGCAAATTATATTTAAGAGATTTGAACATTTCGATATATAGGCTGGGTTAGTGATTTACGCTTCACGTGTTTATTCTGCAAATCGCTATATCTCTGCTATGCTTGTTATATATATTTTGAGTCGAGTTCGAGATGGCGGGTGACACGACCTCGCTTTATCTCAGGGAGACAAAATGTGTGATTTGTGCGGTACAAGTATTCGTAAATCGTGTATTAAATGTGATGGTGAGAGTTGTAGTGTCTCGATGCATTCTAAATGCTTTGAAACTGCAGCAAAATTGTTCGTTATTGAGCGTAAGTCTTGGAAGTGCAGGAGCTGCACAACCAAACTCAAACCACCTTTGCCCTTCCCTGTCTCGGATCTTGCAGTAGTCCAGCTGGAAGTTGACCATTTGAAGCGTGAAATCGACCTGTTAAGTAACCTGAATGGAGAATTGAAATCTAATAATGATTTATTGAAAGAAAAGATTTCATCCACGAACCTTTCATTATGCTACAGTCACAGCAGGAAGATGTCAAGGTGATACAAAAAGTGGATATGTTTCTTCATACTCTATAGCAGCAAAAACTAACAATAACAAACCATCAGCTGGTGTGATGATTAAATCAGAAAATACATCTATTCAAAATGATGCTGTAATTAAGGATATTCAAAACAATGTGAATCCAAGTGATCTTAAACTTTGCTTGAGTGGAGTAAAGAAAATAAAAAATGGTGTTATAATTCAGTGTGAAGACGGTGCTTCTATGGATAAGTTGGTGACGCATGTAACCCAGAACCTGGGTTCAAAGTACACGGTGCGTAAGACTAAACTATTGAATCCCAGGTTACTTGTTCGTAACGTTAGGCTATTCGAAAAATGGAGTAACGACAGGATATTACAGAATATTCTGTCAGTCAATGACTTAAGTAATCTGGATGTTGCTGACTTGAAAATTATCACCCAGTTGAAAGTTCGTGAGTCAACAAATTTGGTTCTGGAAGTATCTCCAGTGTTAAGATGTACCCTGCTCTTTCGTGGGTTTTTATATGTTGGATGGAGTAAGTGCACTGTCACTGATCATCTCAGAGTTTTTCGTTGCTTCAAGTGCAGTGGTTTGGGTCATATTGAGAAAAATTGTAATTTAGATATTGCTTATCCAAACTGTAGTGGTAATCACCGTCTAAAAGAATGTACAAATAATACTTTGAAATGCATAAACTGCTCCAAACATAATGAGAAAGTGAGAACTAAATTTGAAACAAACCACTCTGCCAATGATGTGAATTCATGCTCATTTCTTCAAAATCACATTAATAGTCTTAAATCTAAAATCACCTACGATGCTATTTAAACTCCAACATAACTTTAAATTAGCACTATTAACCGTTATATCGCAATTTTCTAGTATCATTGACATTGTGCATCTTATTTACAAGCATGATCCTTACATCATTGGTATAACACCCTTAAGAATTTGTAAATCAGAGGCAATGGGAAATGTAAAGTGTTCCAATCTTAAAAAATCTTCATTCTCGATTGAACATTCCGCAACAAGTCTCTCTTGTCCGTTTTTTCCAGTGAAACTTCAACAATTCTATTATCAAGTATAGATGGTAATCTAAAAACAGTGACATTTGGTCACCTTAACGTTCGTTCTATCCTGTCTAGTTTTTCTGACTTTGTGGATATATTAACTGAACAAGAGTACGACATTTTCGCGGTGACCGAAACATGGTTGACTAGCAATATACCTACTGAAGTTGTTAAAGTTCCAGAGTATAACTTTAATCGCAGAGATAGATAAGGCCGAGGAGGTGGCATTGGCATTTATATTAAATCTATGGATCAGGTGAGAGTTCTTGACTTTGGTATGGTATGGTTAAAGAACCCACCCGTATCACGGAAGCTTCAGCCACTCTGAGTGATGCAGTTTTTTCAAACACTAAAGAACTTTTTACAGGCACAATGGTTTTGGATGCTGGGGAAATTTCCGATCACCGACCTGTATGTTGCTCGCTGGAAATTGCTGTCAAAAAAACTAAGCAAACTTTCATCTCTTTTCGAGATTTTAAAAACTTTGATGAAAACGGATTTTGTAGTGATTTAAGCTCAATTGTTTGGCACGACCTGATATTATTGATTGACATCGATGGAAAAGTTGATTTCCTTACAAGGAACATTCTTAACATTTTTGATATCCACGCGCCGCTCACAACGGTGAGAGTCAATAAACGTCAGGCCCCTTGGTTGACCTTTCCGTTAGAAATTATTCTGAAAGAACGTGATGTTGCAAAATATAAATCCGATAAAACAGTATCGAGCTGGTTAAGCTACAAAGAAAAACGTAATTTTGCTCTTGCGTCAATTAGGCGTGAAAAAGCGGGTTACCTATCTTTCTTGCAAGAGCATCATATGAACTTTGGAGAGCTTTAGCTAACATAAATATCGGTGGCTTTAATTCAAAGACAAGAACTGAGTATTCCGTGTCACCTCAATGGTCCAAGCGCTATAAACGATTATTTTGCATCAGTGTTTCATTGTGCTCAGCCCGACGAAGCAACATTCAATTTTTATCGCAATAACACGTTTGGCAATCGGAGATTTTCCTTCACTCTGGTTGAGCCTACTACTATCAAAACTGTTGTGAGTGGCCTTAAGTCAAATGCAAAGGGTATTGACGGTATATCTCTTTTTATGATTAAGCTATCTCTTCCTATTATACTACCTTACTTGACCCATATTATCAATCTGTGTCTTGAGAAGGGCTACTTTCCTAAATCTTGGAGTCGAGCAATAGTAAGGTCAGTACCTAGGGTCAGGAAGCCCACCGATTTGTCGGATCTTAGGCCCATCAGTCTTTTGAGTGTTTTGTCAAAGATCTTGGAGAAAATCATTTACTTGCAAATCTTAAATTTTTTAGAGTCAAGTGACATACTCCCAGTACATCAGTCTGGGTTTAGAAAATCATACAGTACTACAACTGATCTTCTTAATTTAGTGGACAACATCATCAGGGCCCTTGATAAAAAGATGTGTGTCGCCTTAGTTTCGCTGGATTTCTCCAAGGCCTTTGATAGAATTGATCACGCACTGATGTCTGCTAAGCTAAAATTTTATGGTCTTGATAAAATAGCACTGCAGTTTTTTAAATCATACCTAACCCATCGTTCTCAGCGCGTCTCACTTTCTGGAGTTTTGTCAAATGACCACTTTATCACTTCGGGTGGGCCTCAGGGCTCAATTTTAGGACCCTTGTTATTTTTAATTTATGTAGGCGATATTGCTAAGTCCATTCAAAATTCACAGCTACAGTCTTATGCGGATGACAGTCAACTGCTTTACTTCTTTTATCCTGAGAACCTCCAGACTGCTACTATGGAAATTAATGAGGACATTGACTCTATTTGCACCCACTCAGCCAATAACAGCCTAACCGTTAATGCGTCTAAATCTTCTGCTGTGCTGTTTTGTCCAAATCACAGAAGAGCCGAAGTCAAAGCATCCTTGAGTATATCTATTACCAATAAAAATCTTCCTTTTTCTGAAAGTGTCAAGTGTCTAGGTGTGTTTATTGATGAAAACGTGCGGCTTCTTGAACATTTAAATAACCTTTACAAAGAAGTTACATCCGTCTGAGAACTATGTATGCGAAAAAAGTTGTGTGAATCTTTTGTGTTATCTATTTTTAATTATTGCAATCTAGTTTATCATCCTTGTTTGGATGTTGCAAGTCGTAACAGAATATCTGTACTACAAAATAACTGCGTACGATTCATATTTGGTTTAAGAAAATTTGGTCATGTTTCGGATCGTTATCCTTTAACAGGTTGGTTAAAGATGACAGATTTAGTTGAATACAACTATCTAACCTTTATACACAAGTTACTTGTC